GAAAATTGTTTGGGGACTATCCCCCACGTTCTAGTTGAGATGGTACAACCCAAGAGGCAAAATGACGCTGCTACTGTTGTTGCGAGTTGCCATTCATTCTACTAAACCATTAGTCAAACGCCATCATGCCTTCTGTCGTTATTACACAAACAAAAATCTCTTTACTGTTACTGGTGTTAGTGCCTCAATATGGCTACGCTCGTGAAAGCAATACAACGAACTCAAACGCGTCTTCGTTCAATGTTGTCAACAAATATCCGGATTATGCAAATTTTCCTCAATTCTCCGGAGAAATTTTCATCAAAATTTGAAAAACCCGGAATTCCAGGAAAATCCGAAGGACTTTCATCTCTGGAAATCTCGGGTTTGCTTCGGGCTCGGACCTGCAAAGCAAGTTAATTGGTCGGGCTCGGGTCGGGTCGGACTGGATTTTTTAGGCCCGATCTTACCTCTACTCACAGCGCAAAGGCTTTCCACCCCCACGGCACGAGACATGGCTAAAAACAGATAAAGCTTTCGGGCTCGCAAATAGCACAAACAGCACAAAATCCCCCCAGAATGAGCAAGGTTGTGGTTGCTGTAATGTCTTATTGATCCAATCAATGAAGTCAATGATAAATAATAAAACAAGGACATAACAGTTGATGACTGATTTTGCATAAAATACATTTCAACAGAATCAATCAGATTGGTGTAAAGCAGGGATGCCCAACCAGTCGATTGTGGTCGACCTTTCGGAAGTTATTTGCGGGCAGCAGTCTGGAATTGCAGCTCACGATACAGCTAATTTTTGCTTGTTTCATCTGCAATTCACTGATGGCATTGACAAAGAATAGGAGAATTTGGAGCACCAGGAGAAGCATTTTAAAACGGTCCATGCGAGCTATGATCGTGATGTTTCTGCACTTAACACGCTGCAAAAGTGCATCCCTGATTTTCTGTGTCAGGTCTCCCACAAAGGTAGGCAATGATTTTGTCACGGTGCGAGGGTGGTGGTGGACCCCAAAAAGCAGGCAGGAGGGAAGAGCAGGGTGAACTTGAAAGATTGTATTAAAACCGAGAAAACTAAATCCAAAACAAAGTCCAAAGTATCAAACAAAAACCATGGCAGAAGCTCAAAAGACTAGAACAGAAACATGACCAGAACAAACATGACAGTAGCAAACTAATGGCAACAAACAGCAACAATGACCGACAATGAGTAGTCGGCCGGGAGTCCTTTTATAGCCACTAATTACCTAACGACCAACAGGTGTGCAGCTGCAGGGAAAAGCCCCACAGTGCCACCTGTTGGTCATAAACCGAAACATGACAGATTTTCTTTTCAACAAACTCAGTCTTGTCTTGTATGTAGTTTATTTTTTCTGTTTTGTACATGTTAGGGTCCGTTATGGCTGTTGCTCATCATGCCATGCTTGTGTGTGTGCATACAAGCGCGTCCGTGTGTGAAGACGGGGTGTATACTTGTATGTGCGGGAAGGGGTCGATCATGGGAGGTTGGCTGCTTAAAAAGTGCATCTTCGGTCAAAACAGGTTGGGCACCCCTGGTGTAAAGGCTACCAATGATGTAATTTTTTATATCGACAAATCTATACCACAACTTTGTTTCATTGTAAATACCATGATTCAGCCGGAATGCATTGAATGTTTGTTCCTACATATATAAGTTAGCATTCACCAGCAATGCTCAAAGCATTGCAGATTTAATCGAGGAATTGACTCGGATGTCACTATTTTACACATAACCTAAAATTAAGGTTTGTTTAAAAGAAAAAAAAGTTAGACCACAGATTTTCAGCAGTGGTCAGAGAATAAGAGACATACTCACCCGCCTGATCTTCTCTTGCCGCCACGGCCTGGCACAGATCCTCCCATTCTTACCGGGCCGGACCCAACTGCCCCCGGCATCACTACTGTACCTGGCAACTCACTGCCCATCTCTGGAGAACAAAACACGAGAATGAACAAAAGAATAAATGGTAATAATCTCTTAAAATTTCTTACATCAAAACTAAGTTTCAGCCAAAGGCACAGCACTGAAAGAAATCGGGCATCTTGAATGTACTAACCGTTGCAAAAAAAAATCATCATGACATTTTGTCTCCGAAGATTTCCCATGTTGTCATTACCTACCTCAACAGTTCTTCATCCTGGGGTGATGGTCCAGTCGTGAGAAGGGGGGCCTTAACTGTTAATTGACCACATTTAGCCTTCGAAAGGGATGCATGCAGTTTGGTTGTAAAACCACCAATTCCACTGAACTTGGAACTTTTTATAAAACAGCATTAACAGTTCAATACAATAAAAGTCTTGCTCTGACAGTGGAGTGGCATGTGTGACACAGAGTCTCCCACTGCGCAACGGTTTCAACTCTGCTAATCTTGAGATAAACACGACAAGCTCTCATATGTAGATGATGAGTGGAGTACCAACAAAAAAAAAATTATAAAAGGAACTCGGATAACTACAGTGAAGAAAGGATAAAGGAAATCGGCAATCGCAAGCTAACACCGGAAGCTAACATGGGGTCGTTTCAAGGGAGCCTCGATTGCATTCGCCGACATATTGACGATTTACAGAATGGAATGAAGATGAATTCGAAAGCCCATTGATATGAAATTACCGCTCAGATGAAAACTGAGTGGTAGGACTTCCAGGAAGATATTCCAGGATCGGATATTTGCAAAAATAACGACGGATATCAGAGAAAACAATGATAAAATAAATTCCGCTCTCGAGCGCACAGAGGAAATTGACTTGTGGAGCCATTAAGCGAACTATGCACTGCAAGATCTAATATGAGAACACCAAAAAAAAAAAAGGAAAAACTGGACCACTCTGAATCATGATCTAGACCAGTGGTTCTTAACCTGGGTTTGACCGAACCCCAGGGGTTCGGTGAATCGGTCTCAGGGGTTCGACGGAGCCTCTGCCATGGAGGTTAAGACACACCCAACTCAACATGTCAGTTTGTTATGACACGCCTGCTTGTCCATCACTGACTGCAGTTGATCACTTGACATTGGTTGTCCAATCAGTGTTGTGGGAAATGTATTTCGCTCAGTAGTCAACGTGTGACTGTCGTGATAGTACGTCGTAAATTTTTTTTAAAAAACGTATGTCTTGAAATTATATTTACATTTTTCTGTTCTTAATAAATGCATTTTTTAAACCTTGAATTTGTAAAAAGTCATATTTTTGTTTTTCACGAATGAAGGGTTTGATGAATGTGCATATGAATTGGTTGGGTTAGGTACCTCTAACAAGGTTAAGAACCACTGATCTAGACGGAATTACTTATGAATTTATGGCATGCAAGAGGAAGCAGACTCCAAGAGTGACTCGGATACCTGTATATGGTCCCATGAAATTTTGAACTACAAATTCAAGGAGATTATCTTTTTTCAGCAGTTCACGGTGAAGAAGATGATTTTGAAAAAGACGTAGGAGAAGAAAGTTTTTGCCTACGATGGCCACTGCATTTATTCTGATCATGATTAACTAGAGACGCTGCAACAGAATAAAACATGTCAATTTCAAGAAAGTCTTTAAGGGAGAAGGCATCTGATTCTAGGCCCCTCTCAACAAAATGCACAACCACTTGGCCAGTGGGGTGAAAACATATGCCATTGCAGAAGGCGGACAACGTGCGGGCAGAGGGACAGGGTTCCCACTCTTCCACTTGCTTTTTAATTTATGGACCTTTTCAGGACTTTTGAGGGCTAATTTAGCCATTTTTTAAGGACTTTTTCTCCATTCAGCAGGGGATCCACAGTGGATTTAATGCCCGCTCAGCAATATGCAGGCTGAACAGAAAGTCACATATCACTGAGTTGGTGTTCAAATCATTGCTGCCATAGGAAGGGCACATCTTTATTTTTAGGGGCAATCAGCTAACCCTTTATTTTTACACACTATATGTCAAATTTTCATTTTCCTACCTGTACTACAAGTTATTTTCATTTTCCTACCTGTGTTACAGGTAGGAAAATGAAAATAACTTGAATTCATTGTCAAATAAAGTACATGAATAAATATTTAAATTTAGAAAATATAAAACTTCAACATATTTTCAAATAAAAATATTTTTTTAAGATTTTTTATTGATTTTAGAAGCTCCCCCTGAAAATGAAGGACACTTCAGAGCATAATTTCACAACTTATTTTTTTTACGAATTTTTAAGAACTTTAAGGACCCGTGGGAACCCTGAGGGACCACTCTCATGAAGAAGCTTCAAATGATTGGGACCACAACGTGAAAGTACACCGAGAGCGGTTGTACAAGGAGGCTAGCAAACACGTGCGAGGATAACTGCAAGAATACCAGCTCAGGGTAAGACAGGCTTGATCTAACTACCTGATCGACGTCAGCTTGAGGTGAAATGCATCTGGAATGGTGATTTGGAAGGCTTGCCTTTAATGAGTCATAGAATTATAGGCAGTTGGCAAATGGGAGACTGAAATGTCTTAATGACTGACAAGAGCGCATTAATCATATGTGAGTTTGTTATCAAACCTTCCCTTTCAAAACAAAAAAGGGCCAATGTGGGAGGTGGGTTTTTGCCTTCTCTTTTTAAATGATTACATGGCCTCTAACAATCAATCTGAACATCTTCATTCAGGCCCACCATTCTCCTGAAACGGCCCAAATGAGGCATAGAAAAAAAAGTGTGTTTCCGGTAACCCGACCGACCGAGAATTTCTACGTCGAAAAAAAACTTTACGGTCAGCATTTTTTTCAAACACCCCTCTACATTTTTGTGTAGAGGGTTTACATCGGTGCAAACTCTCGCTATATTCACGTTGAGCGCGTGCGTTGTTTGCCCTGTCGTCTGTCAACAACATTGAAACATGGCGGCGGCCGCGATCTCCGACGACAGTTTAAACTGCGTTTTCTGTGTGACAGTCGCGTGCTCACACCGTAATGTTAAGAAAATAGCATCCATTGATGTATCGAAAAAATAAAGCGAACTATTTGATGAACACCACGGGCCGAGTAAAAACCGAGGGCGGAGGCGGTGGCCCGCCCCGGCCACCGAGTCCGAAGCAGGGAGAAAACTAAATAGGCGGCGGCGGCCGTGCAGCGGTGGGTTCAATGTCTTCTTGTTTTATGGTTATTTTGTTTAAATTTTTGATGGGGAAAAAAAAAAGATTAAAAAAAAAAAAAGAAAACTTTGTCCGACCTACCGACCCTATGCTGAAATTTCTTATTACCAGAAACACACTATCTTTTTTGTTTGGCCTGATCTTCTCCAAGCATAACATACTATAAGAATGCCTTAAAACGTGTGTTGTTTTTTCAGGTTCAGCATTTTCATGCATTTGTTCTGAGGCAGGGCCACGACCGTTGGGCCGGATGACCACCGAGGCCACCTCGGCTGCGGCTTTCATTCAAGTGAATGGAACCCAGTCAGCGGAGTGTGCACATGTGAAATGTTAAAAAAAAGATTCCATATTGAGAACAAATATGATTTTTAAAGTCGAGGAGACTTCAGCTAGTTGTACATGTACAAGCTATAATTCTTTTCAGTCTCGACATTGTGAAACTTGGGCGCCTGTGCACCTAAACTGGGCCCACTACAGAGCCCTGGCGGTGGAGAGACAGCCGGCCAGATGAGTGACCCCGCCCCCCTCCACGCATAATTCAAAGGTGTAACTCACTTAACCATGTTAACTCATAAACGGTAAAATATGACAATTACTCAGCAGGAACACCACAACAGACCACATCTTGCGTTGGAATCAATAGTCCGGTAGGCTATATATATATATCCGTGTCACAAATGCTGATGAAGAAGACACAATGACAGTTTCTTTGGCTACAAAACAACAGATAGACAGATAGATGGATATAGATATGTGTGTGTGTGTGTGTGTGTGTGTGTGTGTGTGTGTGTGTGT